TATTTTATTTTCACGACTTTTTGACAAAATAAATTCCTTTAAAGGTTTTGAACAACGAATGGTAGCTTGTGTTTATTAGTGTATAGAAATGCTCCCATATCTACGGTGGGCACATTTTAATATGCCCACCGCGTAGGTGGCATGCATTCATTGGTAATGTTAATATGTTTAAATAAATACATCACCAATGAGTGTATGCCACCTACGCGGTGGGCATATTAACATGTGCCCACCGTGGATAGGTGAGCATTTCTAGTGTAATGTCAAACTTTTTGAAACAAGTTAAATAGACGCTATTTGAAAATATACAAAAGTTATTAGTGATACGATGTAATGTCACACTTTTGAAAATTTCATGTATACTGTAGCAGTGTTAAACAGCCAATGCAGTAGTTATACATTTTAATAAATATGTATATGCAGAATTTTAAATTAGGATAGTCGTATTATGAAAAATATGGAACCATGTATATATAATAAATTAAGAAATAATAATAATAATAATAAATTGATGTTATGTAGGGTTAGCCATATTTTTTCAATAGATATTTATACTGTTGGGAAATGCTACAGTCCCATTACGAAATCCTTTTGATGGGATTTATAACCATTAGATCATCATGTAATCATCGTGGATAGTTGATTTAACAGTTACAAATCTCGATAGAATGGTCCGTAACGGGACCGTAGAATCTCTATATACTTTTATACACAAATGACATATTATAATAAATAATATACATAAATGTACAATTATTTTCAATATAAGCATGTATTTTCATTCAAAAGTATGTCGGGTCGACCGATTTAATCGTTGTCTTCCTCACATAATAATAAGAGAACATGTGTACTCAAAAATAATATTCTAGTAGTAGTACTTCATACTTGGATACGAATATATCCGATCAAAATATATTTTTTTTGTTTAAATATGATTAATTTTGAAAAATGTGTCATGATTAATAATAGTGGAATTTTAAGCTTATGTTACAATAATATCTAAAATAAAATAATTAAAGTTGATCTGATATAAAGTAGGAGAGAGATAGTGTGAAACAATTGATTTGTTAAGGTTATATGATTGAATGAACAGTGAATTAAAGTTAGATATGATATGCAAGAATGATTAATTAATTTTATTTAATTATATTAATAATATTAAATATAGTACAGTTAACTAAAATTAAATTAGACTTTGATTATGAATTAAGAAAAATTGTAACGAAAGATTAGTCTTTAGCAAACGCGTACAAAAATTAATATTCAAGCAGTACTGTGTAATTTAACAAATAGTAATTTGCCTAAGCTACAAATAAAAACTTATTGCTACAATGTACCGCTTTTAGACGCATAGAATTCCCCTCATAAAATTTTGTGTTATTTCAAATTTAATTATGTAGAAAAAATGAACGAAAAATCTATACTTATATAAAAAAATATTCTATTTACTAGAATTAGTAGTAAGAAAAGTCAAAGGTAATTAATGCATTCTATTTCCATCAAATATTTTATTTAATTATTTTATCTCATAACACATTTTCAATACAACTTACCATGATTTTTTTATTGTGATTAAAAACCAAATTTTACATTTAAAATCTTGTGAAATTATTATTATTATTTTTATAAAGCACATATTATTTGTTAAAAATTATATATATATATATATATATATATATAATACACATCACAGTATCATGGTAGAGAATTTAAATTTCAACCTACCAAAATGCCAATGATTTAAATTTGTATACACCTATGCGTAACAAATTAATAATGAATTACCTTATGTTTAAATTAAATTCGCTACAAATAGTTTTCTTGGTTAAATTAAATTGGATTAATTTAATTATTAATTTGTATATTTATATACAAATAAGTATTTGTTTAAGGTAAATAGCTGATTTGGCCAAATACATTGTCATGTCGCGTCGAAGCGAATGATTGTAGGCTCAACACGTTTTGAATTAATATACAGGGAATGATAGTAAAAGCTTGATAAATAAAACTGTTTGATGAAAATATGACAAATACCCTTTTGTTTCTCTAAATGTGAACGATACACTGAACAAAAAAGAACGAAAGAAATTTCCGATCAAAATAATATTATATATAGGGCGAATATTATATATAGGGCGATATGGTGTTTGTCATATATACAGTGGATTTTTCGGGGGTAATTTTCCATATCGTTTGATGGTCTGCATGGTTTGAAAGACACGGCCACACAATGACACAATAGAATTAATGATAGTTAAAAATCATTTTTATAGTTTCAGGATGGAGTTATGCAGTGGCGAAGCTACGTTTAGTGGCTGGGGTCGTCCGACACCGACGCTTTGCGTTGAACCACTTGTACGTAACAAAATTTCACCGTGTAAGACCCCATTAAAAAAATAATAAGACCCCGGCAGCAGGGGCGGATTTATATATGGGCGACCCTGAGTTTGTCCCGACCCCAGCAACCAAAATTTCTGGCTTCGCCCCTGGAGTTATGGATTGGTTCATGGGCAGTAAGACATAAAGATATCAATCATTTGCTTGTTTGTGGATTGCTCATCAACATATTGTTAGAGATAGGTGTAACACTATGCATTTGAAAACCTAATATGCTTCTTATGTACATATAACCAAAAGATTTGATGTATTCTTTAAGGAAAACATATTAGTTAGTGTATAGTTAATGAAACTGCATAAAGGTTGACACAGGAAATTTCTTTCTGTTCTTTTTTGTTCAGTGTATCGTTCACATTTAGAGAAACAAAAGGGTATTTGTCATATTTTCATCAAACAGTTTTATTTATCAAGCCTTCACTATCCCTCCCTGTATATTAATTCCAAACGTGTTGAGCCTACAATCATTCGCTTCGATGCGACACAAATCAAACTATTCTTTAAGGTAAATAGCTGATTTGTTATGGTCTTTTACTTTTAGGATTATTTGTGTTCGTTTTATAGTTTTCTTGGTCCATTAGGCTGATTTTACTCGTTTTTGTGTTTTCGTATTGTGTATTTTGTGTTATTTTCATCTACTTTTATATTTTGTCTTTGTAGGAAAATGCGCTCCAATTATGTTTGACATCGACGGAAATGTGCGAAAAACTCACTGGAAAACTCATTTGAAAAACTAACCAAAAAGTTCATGACTGTTCAACCCAATACGATGGACACGCAACCCAACACTAGGCACAACCCAGTCCCACCACACGCCCGCAACCTAGCACACAACCGCACGCAGAGCTCCTCGTCCCCCAACAGGCCCTATCGGCCTTGCGCAGCTCGCACGACGTCGCCCAACAGCCTTGCGCAAGCCCGACGTGCAATCGTGCGTTGCATGCTTTTGTCCAGGCATTCATGTGTCGTGCGGGAATCTCGCACCCGCAAGGGCTTCCGACAGAGCCCCAGTCGATGTCGCGCACACAAAGATGTGGTTGTTTCAAACACGCACCTAGATGGATGTTTGCCTCGTATTATAGAGACTCGTGACAAACCTTGGAATGAACCTTGAACACGACAAAAACAACCCCGGGACCTATTGAAAGGGCTCGAACAAAAAACAACCCTTTTGTATATGTATCGAATTGTTGGAGCCGAATATATTAGAACTAAACTCTTGCAATTCCTGAATCGATTGTAATTTTTTATTTTTCAATTATTGTTTTTATTCGATTTAGTATTTCTTGCATTAGATTAACATGAATTTAATTTAAATAAGGTAATTCACCCACCTAAGGTTAGAGATTTCAATTTTTGCGTCGAATGTGTGTTCGTTCATCTTGTGCAAGTTGATTGAATATTAGAGTTAGTCAACTGATCACGGTCTAGTTCATTTAAATAATCGAAGAAACCGGAAAGGGATAGCTTGTTCGATCATGGCGTGCATAGAGTGTATCGATATGAGGTTCAAAAGCTTTAAATCAAGTTTTAAACATTGATTCAAAATTGATCTTAATTGATTCAAAACTTGCCTTAGAAACTTTTTAAACCACACCTCATTTTGTTCTCCACGGGAAAAGTTTTACATCAATCTTAAAGATTGATTCAAAATTCTTATTTGTGTTATATTAGGGTTTTCCATAGAGGTGACAAATTGTGAGTTTCGTGTAATTTGGAAGGTAATATGTCAAGGAAAAAAATTAATTCAAATTTTATCTTAAAACCTTTTTGTGTTGCATTAGAGTTTTCATAGAAGAGACAAATTGTCAGTTTCGTGTACATTGAGAACTAATATGTCAAGAAAAAAAGTTTGTAAGACAGCATAAAAACATTTTTTTTCTTTTTGTTAAAAAATGAGAAAGTATTACCGTCCTGTAACAGATTCATTCCATCAATATTTTTAACCGTAGATTATCTACACTATAATAATCTACATATGTATCTAGCAGTTAAAAACATTAACAGAATGGTTCTGTACGTCACTATAGTCAAAAAAAAAAAAGGATGATTTTTCAATAAAATAAAATGATGTGCCACCTCACACCTCAGCATAAATTCAATGTTTGTAACTTTTGTGTACGAGGAGAATTATTCTTCTCAAATTGTATTATTTAAATATTAAAATCATTTGTGCTTTCCTTTAACCTTTTACGTCTCCTCTAAAATTGTCAAGCCCTTCAACCACCCGCCCACTACTCTCACTCACTCTCTCCACAGTACAAATACCCACACAAATAGACAAAATTGCAGATATTCCTCTCACAATCTCCAATAATCACTCGAAAATAAACTAAAAAATCCCCAATTATTTCCCTAAACAGATTTTGTTCCGCAGATTGAAGAAAAACGGGCGATGGCTTTCGACGGCAATCGGGTGAGAAAGCCTCTGCTCTACGCCGATTTGTTCAAGCGCCGGCCGGCGGAAAAGGAGGCGGAGAGCGGCGCGATTACGAATCCGGAGGTTCCGAGTTCTATTTCGAGCTTGTCGAGCCAGTTGTCCTCGCCGCGCGACTCGTCGTCGTCCGGCTTCAGCACGCCTCTGTACTCCGATTTCGAAAGCGACGACGGCGATTTCATCGACGAGTTGACTCGGGAGATGGCCGAGCGCATGCTCCAGGACGACGATGACGGTGAAGGAGAAGGAGAGGAAGAAAAGGTGGAGAAAATAGTAAAGAGTGTAAGTATGGATTTTAGTTATCAAAAATCTCTGTTCGGTCGGTCGTCGCCGATTAATTTGCTGATACAATTTCTGTTTTTTTCTTTTTTCAAATTATAAAGGCGAGTGGGTATGCGAAGAAGAACGAGATGATTTGCGTGGCTAATAGCAGTGCCATTGACGGCCGGGAAAATGGTGTCGGTTCGGGCCGGGCCGGAATCGGCGACCCGATTCCCCCTATCCAGGTAAAGGCGGGTACCACTGTACCAAATAGTGGGCCTAATAATCAGCAAACGTTTTCACTTAATTGCTTGCCTGTAGTTGAGAAATATTAAATTATGACATAATTTAATATTTAACTAATGCGTTGAGATACTGTATCAAATTCTATTAAATTTCGGAGGCAGAAAATCTTTGTTGGGAGACTCACCCACCACTGTCAGGTGTGCGACCCGAGTCGACCAACGGATTAGTCGAGGCATAGCTCTGGATACCGTGACTGGCTACCAAAAAAAAAATCTATTAAATATTCTGATTTTGATATTTAATAAAATATAAATTAATTAATTATTTTGTAATGTGTGAAAATGTACGTTACTAGATTTTTAGTTTATACCGATGGAAATTTAAATTTAATTTAGACATATATGTTAAATGGTAGAAAAGTACATTTCGTTTCTTTTTTTTTGGTTGATAAAGCAGTGTAATTGTAATAAAGCAGTGTATACTAGATTTTTAAAATAAAAATGAAATGATAAATTAATGTAATTCAAAATTTGTACTTTTATAGTAACATTATCTTTATTGGAAGATGCTACGGTTGGTTACGGAACCATTCTGTCGGGTTTGTAACCGTTAGATCAACTATCTCTGACGGTTACATAATGATCTAACGGTTACAAACCTCGACGGAATAATTTCTAGACCT